GGTTTAGGGTTTAGGGGAGTTAGGGTGTAATTGGGGAACGCCAGTTTAGGTTTCGTTTTTTGAGAACAGAGGTTGGGTTGGTAACATCTGCTCGTTGAAGCTTGCTTTAGGATGCAGGATGGGAAAAACCCTAAACCCTACACCCTCGGGTATAAGGCACGTGCCTGAGCAAATGTCATACTTCTCACGTGGCCCCAAACAAACTTATAGGAGACCGTCGAGTTCAGGCTGAATGGGATGAGTTTAGGGGTTAGGGGTGTAGGGGNNTTAAGGTTTAGGGCTTTGGGGGTTTAGGGTCGAGGGTTTAGGGGTTTAGGGTTTAGGGGTATATGCATTTAGGGGTCATATAGTTGGAAGCGTCGGAAACCAAAGGAGCATCAGGTAGATCGTGAGCCACGGGATCCTTGTTGCAGACAGTGCCTCCAAAGAAGCACTCTGACCTTTTGAATCAAGCCCAGACTCACGATTTCCGCATGTTTCCTGTTCTTCAGGCCCTGCTTGTGCTATGTGCCTTGAACAATAGGATGTCAAGAGGGATGCATGCTAATGATTCAATGACTGACAAGAGAACCACCGTTCCTTGAGAGGGAGGAAAATAAGGCAGACTCACCAGGGATTGGAACGGTTTCCAGCTCCCTCTGCTTTTGAGGCAGAGGCCCCGGTGCCTTCGTCCTGGCCATCACCAACAGAGGTCGGGTTCCGGGTTTTGTGTGTTGCCGGGGTTGTCTTAGTGGTGCGGAATTACAAGAAGTCTATTACGCAGCCTACCTACAGGGTGCTGCGGTGAGTGTGTCGAAAACTACTATGTTCTTTTTGTCTTCACCTTCGTAACCCAGGTGCGCCCTAGGCGGGAGACTTCGACTCTAAACTCCTAAACCCCTAAACCCACTTTTGCGCAGGAGGTGTCGCCCCCATCTGCAACCAAGGCACGCACGTGTCTTCTTTGTATGGGGCTCGTAAATTCTATTCAGTTCTCTTACTCTTATAATATCTTTCGTTCTGTTCTATTCCATTCTGTTCAATTATGTTATGTTATTCAGTATTTATTATCTTCTCTTTTATTTTACTCTGTTTTACTCTAGTCTACTCTATTCCCTACTCTACTCTACTCTACTCTAGTCTAGTCTGTTCTATTCTGTTATATTGTGTTCGATCACATTAATTATGGTACATCATGATTATACTATAGTCGTTTATATTACGTGTTGGCATGTTATGTTCTATTTCTACTGTTCTATATATACACGTTTCGATGCACCGGAGTTGAGTTCGGAAGGATCCGGCGAAAGCAGCTGAGTAGGGAACTAGAAACCTTTTTGGGGTGTTTGTAGCACTGCTTGGAGGTTCATGGGTAGTTAATAAGTGGGGTTATACGTCCCCTATTTAATAGGGTTAGAATTATAGTTACCCTACTTATAACCCTACTTATAACTACCCATGAACCTCCAAGCCTCCAAGTATCATCAAACGTTGTTGCCAAGTTGGGGCCTGGGAACTTTGAAACCAGGCCACAGATGTTTCTGTGCACGAATATGATTTATGAAGGGATGGTTTTTGGAAGAAGGGATTCGGAGGACATTTTGTCATGTCCGTGCTGCATCGAAGAGGCTTACAGAATGCGTGATTGCTTCTTAAGGCTTTACATGGTTCGTAACGAGCCTAGATCTTGAGCGGTGGTTTAGGTTTTCGACGGTGTCTAGAATTCTCGAGATGGGGGGGTCTTTCTGGGGCAGAAACACAGAAGACGGGACTGACCCTTCAGGCCAAGAAATGGCTCGGAAAGAACCTTACGCTGAACGCCCGGAGGGGTAGTTACGGGTTTTCATAATATCAAGGTCTACACTCTAAAGCATCTGAAGACGAACTAGCTGCCAATGAAAGTGAACAGATTCTCAATAACCCTGTGGCGGACGGTTTAGGGCTTCAAGCTACTTTTCACTCCCCAACATCCTATCCTCGTGGAGTCCCAATCCATACTGCATACGGTCGAGCTCCCGGAGCGGCTTGCAATTCCCAGGCGCCCTAGCATCAAGACAATTTCAAGACTTGGTATCACACACCCGACTAACACCACCGGAGCTTGGGAAACGAGTACCAGCAATGCCAGACGGTACTTGGAGGTTCATGGGTCTTTATAAGTAGGGTTATAAGTAGGGCAACTATAGTTATAACCCATATTAGGGGACTTATATCCCTACTTATATAGTAGGACCCCCTTATAGATCCCTTAAAGGAGCCTTATAACTACCCATGAACCTCCAAGTACGTAGCCCTCGTTGGACGAGGCCAGCGACCTGACTTCCAGTGCCACCGACACACAGCAGCCGAAGGCGACTCCTGTTGCATTTGGGCATAACTGCGTCCTACGATTATATTGTGTTATTACAACTTGTTTTCATATATTATGCTATTATATATTATGTTATTACAACTTTCGTTATCAGATCATGCTATATTATATTGTAGTTTACTAGGTTATGTTAGAATCCGGTAGACAGGACTCTTGGGCCTTCGGAAGCTTCGATAACTGAGGCTGGGCTCTTGAGGCTCAGGGTTTGGAGCTCCAGGTAACCCGGAAGCCGCTAGCCCCTTTAAGGGAACCCGGAAGCCCCCGTTTAAACCCGGCAGCCCCTCTAGGGAATCCTAAAGCCCCTTTAATAGAACCCGGCAGCCCCTCTGAGGGAACCCTGAAGCCCCTTTCAGGGAACCGGGAAGCCCCTTTAAGAGAACCCTGAAGCCCCTTAAGGGAACCCTGAAGCCCCTTAAGGGAACCCGGAAGCCCCTCTAAGTGTTTGAGCACTGGAAAAACTCGTAAGAGCCCCGCTTTCTGTTCGTCGAGTCTTTCAAGTCTGACGTGACTACTCGAGGTTCTATCGGTGACTAGATGCTCATCGATGTCAAGCCCTAGACCCTAGAACACCCTAAACCCTAAACCCTGAACCCTAAAACACCCTAAACCCTAAACCCTAAAACACCCTAAACCCTAAACCCGAAAACACCCTAAGCCCTAAACCCTAAACCGAAACCCTAAACCCTAAAACACCCTAAGCCCTAAACCCTAAACCTGAACCCTAAGCCCTAAACCCTAAAACACCCTAAGCCCTAAACCCTAAAGCACCCTAAGCCCTAAACCCTGAGTCTCATGGATGTCGGTGTAGGCCTTTCTGAGGGCAGGGCTTGGCCTGCCACTGCCACGACTTGTTGCGGAGAAAGCGTCATTTATCACCTATGGCAACACCTAGCTTGTCTTCGTCCTGGCCAGTTTAGTCGGGTTTAAGTTTAAGGGCTAAGGGTTTAGGGTTTAGCGTTTAGGGTTTAGGGTTTAGGGTTTAGGGTTTAGGGTTTAGGGTTTAGGGTCTGGCTTGAAGGGATTTCCACTCCCCAGAGCCTCTAAAGAAGAAATCCAGAGCCTGAAAGCCCTGAAGCGCCGTAAACAAAAGCTCCAAACCCGCTAGTGCACTACCCCTGCCGCCCCAAAAGTCTTTCTGAAGCCATACAGAAACCCTAAACCCTAAACCTTACACTCGCACAAAACCACCCAACTTTGGCCTCAGGTGGCTGTGTCGCTGCCTTTGGGATCTTTGCCAAGTGGTGCCAAGTCTGCAGAGGCGGCCGGCTTCTTTGGGGTCTGGGGGCTTCGGGTGAACGGGCCCAATGATCGGAATGGGTTTAGGGCGATCTTGTAGCAGCATAGTTATGAGGGAACTATGAGGGTTTATTCCGCTCGGCGTATTCGGCAAGCTCTTGCAGAGAGTTTGGGCGTGTGTTGATAATCTTCGCTTTAGTTGCTTGTTGAGGGCTTTTGGGAGTTCAGGTTGGGGTTCGGAATTCAGGCTTAGGGTTTAAGACCCTTCGTGCAAGCACACCTGCGCCCACAAGCATACAGACAGAGAGAGAGAGAGAGGGAGAGAGCGTGTGAGATATCGGTTCGTACATAGGTATAACTACATAGATGTATATGTATATATATATATATACACACGGTATACATCGTTTCGCCTTTTTCTGCCTAAACCCTGGCTCAGCTTGTGTCCATCATCGGCTAGAGCATTCTTGCAGTCAGAGGCCCCGCTTGCACATTTAATTAGGCCGCGTGCTCCGCTGATGAATGCAATGAAATGGAAATATACGTCGTTTGCGTATGTATGTGTGTATATATATATATATATACATACGTGTTTACATACGGTGTTTTCCCATGTGTACATACATACATATATATATATATATATACACATCTCTCTGAATCTATCTATCTTTCTATCTATCTATCTACCTATCTATCTATCTTCTATCATCTATCTTCTATCTACCTACCTATCTATCTATCTATCTATCTATCTATCTAACTATCTGTCTATACACATACACATGTTAATACTTACACTTATTTTCACATACACACGCACATCTAGACATACAACAGATACATAGATATGTAGGCCTTTCACCCATGCCCGACCCATGTTTGAACTCTTGACCCTCCACAGACGGAAGCATCAGACCCCTCGTCCCGTAGACCCCCTGAAGTCTCCAAAGGGCCCTAAACTCTCAGCCCCGATTCCCGACACCCCCGAACCCGCAAAGTTAGAGGCCCGAAGCCCCCAAACCCCCAAGCCCTAAACCTAAGCCCTAAACCCTAAACCCCAAACCCCCAAGCCCCAAACCGCAAACACCTAAGCCCCTAAGCCTCCAGACCCGCAGCTCCAACAGCGCCCACGAAGCACCCGACCCCAGGAGCCGGAAGAGCTTCCGAGCTGGTGGCCGAAGGCAGGTTTAGGGTTTTTGGATTAGGGTTTAGGGT